AGTACCATGCGCAGCAGGTCATTGCGTCGATACGTCATCATGACGACAGTGAATCTAGGTACGGCCGCCGGCTGCGTTCTCAGCGGCGACGCATCGACGGTCCGGTTACCGGGTTTTGTGTGGGTAGTACTTCCGTCCCGGTAACCGGTTAGTTGCGTCCGGTCGCCACGGGGCGCGACACCGACGATGGACGAATACTGCAGTAGATACGCGACGCAACACAGCAGCGCGACGACGCCGTAGATGACGCGTAGCCGTCGGCCGCGCATCTCGTGTGGAACCGCTGCTGATGCGCGCAGACGCGCCGGGATATGCTGCTACCCGCGCGCGCGTAACGAGAGTAGCAGACGGGGCTGGACGGCGTCGGTGAGCATGCGCACACCGGCGGGGTCAATGCGACGAAACCTGTCACTAGATACCCACCGTCATCAAGTGCATGGCCAAGTACAGTTAACCCGAGATTGCGTAATAGCTGTTGAGCTACTACGCAACAAAAGTGAAAGAATGTGGGCTGGTAAATGCGGTGTCGTGTGCGTTCGAGCGTGCGATCGTGCGTTCGCATGTTATATGTTTGTGCTTGTGAAACGCGGGGATGCTGAGCTCCGACCAGTTCAACAGCCAATTCGCTCCTTTCAAGCGCGAAACGCGAATTCGTTTTTGCATTGTCTATGTTGCATCTACGGCCCGGTTGTATTGAACGAGCGTAACCATTCCTCTCTAAAGTTCCTGCTTCACTATCCTGTGCTCATGGACGCGCCTCATCTGGACGCCTTGTCAAGCATCCGCGCAACGCATCTTTGTCACGATAGGGGTAAGTACGCGCTAATGTTGATGTTTTCTTCCCGTTGTTCATGAGGTTATGAGGTTATTTACACCGCGGCATGTAACTGTCAACGCAGAACTATTAGCGTTATGTGCCGTAAATATATTCGCCGTATATATTATATCAGGAGTGAATAAAGACATTATTTTAGCCCGTTGTCAGAAACATCGAAAAGATAATGCTAATGTGAATGCAAAGATAACGCTTACGACTAATGTTAATGTTACGAGAATAGCGTTGACAGAAAATTAACGCATCGCAGCTATGAGAATACTTGCGACAACAGGAACTTCATAATTTGCTGTCACGGCTGCTGATTGGATGAGAGTTAATCACAAAACTCTAATTCATACACATTTATTGTACATCACATCAATTTTTCAGTACACGATCGGTAGATAAGTGGTGTTTCTGAATTGTTTTCCATGGAAAACACATGTTTTACTAATTAATATAAAATATCATGTCACTATTATGGCAATTCTTTGTGTAATTGCATTATTTTTATCTTGATTTCCAAGTTGCGAGAGGGCTACGATCTCGTAATGTTAAGATTGCTGGGATTTTTCGTTCTCTCGTGACTTTACGATGTTTCTGCCAACGGTCTAGGACTCAATGTTAAGACTAATGTTAAGATTAATTTTGTTTCTGACAACGGGTCCCTGGCCTTGCCTGTAGTAATAGTAATAGTAATAGTAATAGTAATAGTAATAATAATAGTAATAGCAGGGGCGGCGCGTACGGGGGGGCCGGGGGGGCCGGCCCCCACTTTTTGGCAGAAAATATATGTCTATATGTATTTGTATGAGGAAAGAAATGCAAGAAATAGAAAGAGAGCGAACGAAGGAGGGAAGGTAAGGCGGGAAAAGTGGAAATGAGAAAGGGGAATGTGTTTATCCACTATTTTCATCTGCTACTAGAAAATTACACAAGTTTGACGAAGTCCTCTCTAGCCTGTACTCTAATTATGCAACAGATCATGCACAAGCGCTGTTTATTTGCCCAATACGTGGCGGACTTCGGGCCTGATCGCTGTGCTT